ATGGGTCTACATGTCTTCTTTCCTATTACCTAGAAGCCATAGCTAGCAAAAGCAAAATTTGGAACTGCCATGTCTACACAGGATAAACTTATGTGGGAGGTGGATTCACTTGGTGCCATGTCTACATAGGATAAACTTACGTGGGAGGTGGATTCACTTGGTGCCATGTCTACACGGGATAAACTCACGTGGGAGGTGGATTCACTTGGTGCCATGTCTACACGGGATAAACTTATGTGGGAGATGGATTCACTTGGTGTGTAGGGGTGACAGATTGTGCTGAGCTCGTCACAGACGCCCCTGAATTTATTCTGCGGGTAGGACATGACCATGAGAGCTGGAGCCTTTACCCCAGCTTCACTCACGTGTACAATGTGACTTTTTGTTTCCATGGGACTGAGCAAATGTTTGCCATTTTCTGGGCATTTTGGCCCAGCTCTTCATTTTCCTGGAATCTCAGTGAAGATTTACCTATTGCCTGTTTGTTCCTCTGCTGTCTTGGATTACACAGCCCCCAAAACAGGAGTAAAGTTGTGAGTGTGTGTGTGTGTGTGTGTGTGTGTGTGTGTGTGTGTGTGTGTGTGTGTGCTCATACATACACAATTCAGTCAATACACTAACAGTCAAACCCATGGGATCTGTACCTAAGGGGACTCACATGGCTATCCCCATGAACAGATGATGGAGGGATTTTCCCCACTGTTGGAAACCCCACAGCAGGGACCCTGTTTCTGTCAGCTCTGGGATGACAGGCCTCCACAGTTTGATGCGGAGTGGGCCAGGGAGACCTTTAAAGGACACATGTTCCCAGGGGCCTGTAAATCAAATCCTTGCTTCTGTTTACTTTGACAAATGACTTTCGTTTCTGAGTGAGGAAAAGGGAACTGAACTCAGGCTCTGCTGACTGGACTGTCCACAGTGACAGGTGGCATGTTCCGCAGGACAGACAGACAGACAGACAGACAGGAGACAGCATCTGCCTTGGGAACGCCTCCTGCTCTTCTCCACCAAGGAAGCTGGTCTAATTAGCACCGACATGGCCCCAACGAACACGGAGACTTCAGGCACCTACAGCTTCCGTGTCTAGAAGAACCATGCCAGTGAGTGACAGCATCTCCCTCGGTGTGCTGCTGTGGGAAGACAGGGTCTCACAGTCTCTGGAGTGCCAGGGTCACAGCGCTTGCTCAGCTTCTACTCCCTTTAGTTCTAAATCACTGACTCTAGGCCTGTATGAAGCACAATGAATTACATGTCTTACAGTTACTTCACTTGCCAGTGTATGATAACCACCGTTATCACAGATACAGCTATATTTTTACTTTAAGTCACTTTTAGAGATGGTTTCTATACTTTTTCTTCAAATTGAACGCTGCTATTTGCTAGGTTCAAGGGTTGTTAACAAGCTACCCATTACTTTCTGGTTCTATAAATTATGCTCTGCTATTATCCACTCATTTTTCTCTGTCAGGAGTTCAGCTCCAAGTCAAGAGCCTCAGCTACGGACTGGTGTTCATCTGAATCACCTAAGAAACCATTTTCCAACGAGACTCACACCTGCCAGGGAGCAGTGGAGACAGGAATCATTACAGGGATTGGAGCCAGACCCGGGCAAAGCAGCATCTTCGAAGAGGCGTTGAGGAGCAGCCGCCTTGTGAGGATGGCCCACAGGGAGGAAGTGCTGTGAGATGCTCAACCAGGCCACCTTTGTGTAAGGGAGTGTCTCAGCCACTGAGCCACCTTGTACTCAGAGCCTCAGCCCTCCAAAGGAAAGGAAGTGTGCCTTGTGGGAAGCTTCAGTGCGGAGACTGCAGGTTCTTGTCTCTCAAAAGCACCATGACGTTTCATTTTGGTTTTGAAAATGAAAGGTCAGATTTAAAACTTAGCTGGTACAAGTGCCCTTCACCATAAAGGAGAAACCTTTCCTGACTGATTGAGGGGTTTGTCACCCGCGGCCCCACAGGAGAGTGTGGCCTGCCCACACTGTCCGCACCTCTATGGGGATTGCAGACAGCATGGCACCCTTGGCTGGGGGCTTATTCAGATCTGCAGGGGGCAGGGTGGAGTCTCGGGGGCAGTGTGGAGTCTAGGGGGCAGTGTGGAGTCAGTCTAGGGGGCGGTGTGGAGTCTAGGGGGCGGTGTGGAGTCTGAGCTCACGGTTTAAATGTCACAATCTGCCACTTAAGCACTGTTTCCAATTGTCACGACCATCCTAAAGTCAGACAGCGACTGAGGTGACTTAGTTTTAGTGTCATTTAAGAAGTCATTGGCTCCTTGGAAGAGGGAATGTTTTAAAAGTTAAAGGTGCACTAAAGCATGCACGGCTGCTGGAGAAATATCATAAAAGATATCTTTAATGTGGACACTATGTCATACAGTGAAAAACCACGTACACGGGGCGGCCTCCACCCAGCTGCCACGCTGCCAGCATATCGTCAGCCAGGCAGCCTTAGTCCTGCGGCACAGTCCTCAGCTCCAGGCTCTTACATTCTGCTTAGTAATTATGGCTCAGCAAGCATGCCACCAAATCCTCTGCAGCCAAAGACCGGCAAGCACACACGAGTAAGAGATGCAAGCCTTCTCACCAATAAATACATCTTAACAATGCAATCCACCTCCACCTGAGCGCACTGTTTTCACGTAGGAACTCTCTGGTTGTGGAACTAGGGCAAATGCACTGTCTTCACAGTGGAACTCGGGGCGTTTTGTCTAAAAATACAGCATGTTTGGGCAGGATAGAATTTCTGGTTTATTTGCCTTCACCCGAGGGTTGCTGCACACATTCACAGCGGTAACAGACTGCAATTGGGTATTCCAGCTGTGCTTTGCAGCCCCAGCTGTTCTCCTTGGTGAGTGGGTGCCCTTGCTGGCTGGCCCTAGGGCTGTGACTTGAGAGTGACGGGGAGGCTCCTTAGTCCCCATTTTCATCACTGGCTTTCTCAGGGATGACTTCCAGGCTCCGGCGTGGCTTCTGGGCCTCAGAGTTTTCCGTGCCTGGCTTGTTCAGTCCACACGAAACAGCTGCATAGTGGATCTGCTTCAGATTCTCCAGGGTCTCATTCTTAGCATATTTCAAAAGATCCGCTTGTCCCTAGAACAAAAACATGCAATTAAACAGCATTAGACAGGCATGGCCACTGCTGGGCTCTCCAGCACAGACATTCTGTGGAAATACAAGCATCCTGAGTTTGCAAACAGGTATCTGGTCCTCTTGGTACCACACCTGAGGACATCAATTCTAATAAGAATGAGCTGTGTTGTGGTTCCAACACTGCACTCCACAGAGGTCTGCCTTTCAGCACCCCCCCCACTTAAAGCACGGCCACCTCTCTCTGTGTGGACTGCTCCAATCAGATGGAGACATTCCCTCGTGGGTGGGGAGCTGACAATACTCATGACATCGCTGTGCAGGGTACAGTCACCTTTCTCAAAGCTGTGACTAAATACACAGCAAAGCACCCCAGGAAGGAGGGAGACTCACAGTGTGAGGTTACTGTCGTCATGGGGGAGCCGTGGTGTGGGGACACGGAGCAGATGCCCACACTGCAGTCAGGAAGCAGAGAGCAGACCGGAAGTCAGGCTGGACCATAAAACCTCAAGCCAGCCCTTCACTGATCTTTCCCTAGCAAGGCTCCACTTCCAGGGTCACACAGCTCTCAGAACAGCACCACCAGCTAGGGTGTCTTATAGGCGCATTTCACATTTAAATATAACACACAAACAACATGCAATTCCTTGGGTAGGATAGATTGCTCAACGGTGTAGCTGCCTGCAAATCAGAGGACCCTGGTGATCAGACTTCGAGAGTCTGTCATGCTCCTGTAAGTAACACCAGTAAGTCACTGGTTCATCCAACTGCACTTAGAATCATTTCTTTGGTTCATCACCACCCTGTTTACCAGGAGTGAAAAAGGATTTTTGCATGCGGCAGTACCAAATCAGAGAAGCAGGCCCACAGTAGTGGGCAGCCCTGTCTGCCCTTCCCCAGACTCACCTGGGGATGACATCTCATGCACCTGTACTACATCAGAACCACGACACGACATCTGTACACTGTGTCCCTTAGATGTGTGTTACTTTACCTCATGCAGTGAAGACACAGGACTAGCCCAGTGCCACAAAGGTCTCCCGTATGCTCCCCATCCTCCCCTACCCCATACAACCTCGCTCTGCCTGATGTGAAATCATCCTGAAGACCGGCCTTTGAAAGGCTGTTGGTGGGCACACAGCAGCGCCCACTGAGCATCTGCCAAGGACACTGCTCTGGACACCTGCTCTTAGTTCACTTTAGGTTCCTGGATGAAGTCTGAGCACCAACCTGATCCAGATGTAGAAAAGGCAGTGACTGAAGAGGGAGTTTGTCTGCCTCGTCACTCCTGGCTCTGGGCTGCCTTGTGCATCTTGGGTACTGAGGAACACTTTCTGTCCTCATTCACACACCAGCAGTACCCTCCACTGCAACACCAGAAATGTCTGTGGCCACTGAAGCCGTCCCTCAGGGACCGTCCCTCAGGGATGGCTGATGGCGCAGCACTTACAGCCCCACTGGGCAGAGGGCTGCCATGGTGCTCCCTGTGGACCCCACACGTCTACTGCCCGTCACTGGCAGCTCTTCCTAGTTATACCCCGGGACCTTTGTTCCTTCTGTACTTTTTCTTTTTGAGGCGGGGTTTCATGTGCCCACCCTGGCCTGTAACTCACTATACAGCAGGGGCTGACCGGGGGCCTCACCCTATCTCAACCTCTGGGCTTCTGGGATCCCATCTGCTCCTGGCTTCTTCTCCTCCTCCTCCTCCTCTTCCTCCTCTTCCTCCTCCTCCCCCTCCTCTTCCTCCTCCGGCTCCCAGGTTATCCCACTGTTTCATGATTCTTCCGTAGTTTGCTGTTTACTTGTTTTTCTTTATACTTAGGGCCTCATTTCTCCCTCTTTTTTTTTTTTTAACTGCCCTTAATGTGTATTTCATTTAGAAGAACTCTGTGTAACCAGAGTTTGGGGCAGCTGCAGAAGACAAAGGGGAAAGACCCACCTTGCCTGGTCATCAAGAGACCCATTTTCCAGCCTTACCGAGACATTTAATTAGTAACTATAAATAGGTGTCCCTTCACGAGTTAACCTAGAGGGGCTTCCTCTTTATGACCCCTCTTTGTCATTACACTCATATACTGAAAGTCTACAGTGGGGAGGCCTCTGCATTTCTTTCTTTATTAAGAAATTTTTATTCATTTTACATACCAACCACAGATCCCCCTCTCTTCCCTCCTCCCACTCCCCCTCAGCCTTCCCCCCTCAACCCATTCCCCATCCCCTCCTCTGAAAAGGTGAGGCCTCCCATGGCGAGTCAGCAAAGCCTGTACATTCAGCTGAGGCGGGTCCAAACCCCTCCCCCTGCATCAAGGCTGTGCGAGGCGTCCCACCAGAGGTAGTGGGCTCCAAAAAGCCAGGGATGGATTCCTGTCTCCACCTCCCTAGCACTGGGATTAAAGGTGTGCATCGCCGCCGCCGCCGCCACCCGGCTCTGTTTCTCTTTTAGACTGGTTCAATTTCGTGTAGCCCAGGGTGGCCTTGAACTCCTGATCTTCCTGTTTCTTCCTCCCAAGTGCTGGGATTAAAGGTGTGTGCCACCACTGCCTAGTCTATGGTTAACTAGGCTAACTCCACCCTCTGATCTCCAGGCAAGCTTTATTTGTCAGCACACAAACAAAACATCACACAACACCCCCCAGTCCCTCCAGCAGGGGCATCCCATACCACAGTGACCCTAACACATCGGTGTCACCCAAAGCCTGCTGCTAAAGGTGGCATCCGTCCTTGGTTCTGTATGGACCTGACAAATGTGAAAAGGCACATACCCATCTGCAGTAGTACAAAGTCGTTTCTTATCTGAGAAGCACGTCTGCTCTGTCGACTGTCCTGCACGCTGTCTCCAGCCTGCTCTCTCCATACTCTGACCTTCTCTAGCTAAGCGGCTGGAATGCTGGAGTGAACAGCACTTTCAGGTTGCTGCCATCCACTGAGGACACTGACTTAAGGTTCCTCCATGTCCTCCTACAACTTGACAGTACTCTTCTGGTTTTTTGTTCGTTTGTTTGTTTGTTTGTTTGTTTGTTTGTTTTTGCACTGAAATACGGTCCCTACCAAAAGACATCTTGGCTACTTCCACATCTTGACAATTATTTTTTAAAAAAATCTACTATAAATGTCTTTGGGCATAATTTCCCAAGTCATTTTAATAAATACTAAGGAGTGTGATTCCTTTATGGTGTTGTTAAAACATGGAGTTTCTTACAAAACGTCAAACTGTTTCCCAAGGCACCGTTCTGACTTCAGCTGGTAGCGGATGGGGTTCTCGCTGTTCTGCCTCCAGCCAGTGTTTGGTGCCGCCACTCACTGCTTCAGTTTTGAATAATACTGAAATCTATAATAACATGATTTTGAGCCTTTTCCTTTGCCTTCTGGACATGTGTTTGGCCTTGTGAAAGCCAGACTGGCTTACTCCTAACTGACACGTGAGAGAACTCCAGATATTTAGAAAGCACCCCTTTAACTGATGTCCTCTGCAAGGATTTTCTTGCAATCTGCGTCTTCCTTTGGCAGGGTCTTTCACAGAACAGTTTTAGTTCTAAGGAAATCAGCCCTACCAGGCCTCTGATGAACTGTATCTAGAGTGGCCTGTCTGCGGATATCATTGTCACACTCAATACTGTTGAGCTTGTCCACTGTCTCCTTTACGGTTCTGTGCTTCCCCTTCAGATCCAGTCTGTTCTGAGTTAGTTCTTGTGAAGGGTGCGTCATGTGCCCTGATGCAGCTTTCAGATGTGGCGTTCGGTTGCTCAGGACTAATAGCTGACGAGTCTTTGTTCACTGAGGCACCTCTGCTCAGCCTACTGTGTTCCCTCACTCTGCCTGCAGCTCTGCTAATACCATGTTTCTTGATTACTAAAAAACTTCAGCAGACTCTGAAGTCAGGTACTGACAACCCCTTCCCCCATATATCATAAAAAGTGATATAACTTTAATTATATCACTACAGGATTTTTTCTCCTTAAATGCTGCATTGGCTATTCTGGGTGTTTACATACAGTTTAGAATCAGCTTGTTGGTATCTGAAAAATAAATGGCTGGGATTCTGGTTTGAACTGTGCTGAATTTACAAGTCAAGTTGGAAAGAATCAAGATCTGGCCAACATTGACTCACATCTATGAACACCATGATGGCTAATTTTGGTTGTAACTTGACTACATCTGGAAATCAACTAAAATCCAAGATGCTGGGCACTCCTGTGGGCGATGTTCTTAGTTAGATTATTTGGAGCAGGAAGACCCACAGTAAATCTGGCCCACCCCTTCTGGACGGAAGAAAGGAACTTTCCTCCTCGAGTACTTGCCCTCACACTCACGGGAAGTCCGTTTACCCTGCTGCTGGGGCATTCCTTCACTGACACGAGAGCTGACTTCTCTGGTATTCTATCCGACTCAAGCCCAGAGGCTCTCCAGGAATCCTCCGGAACTCCAGCACCGGACTGGGACTGGAGAGACTTTTAGCTTTGTGGACCAAACCGTCACCAGGCTCCGGTCCTTTCCAAAGTCCACTGTGGGACTAGCCAGACCTCATCCTGTAAGGAGTCTTTTCATATATATATATATATATAGATCCACCCTGTCCATCCTGTTCCTCTAGAGAACACTAATACCAACACGAAACATCTCTGCATTATTAGTCCTTCTGGATCTTTTGTCAGCATTTTATAGTTTTCCTCACAGAAATTTAATATGTATTTTTCTAAATGGATACTTAAAGATTTTACTTTTGTGGGTGCTAATGTAAATAGCAATGTGTGTTTAATTCAAATTCCCCTCTTTGTTGGTGTATAAGAAATGGACAGATTTTTGTATACTAACCTTGAAGGCTGCAACTTAAAAAAAAAAACAAAAAAACCGGACTTCAGAGTTTCTCACAGTCAGCTTCAGTTGTCACCGTCACACATTGGGAAGAGGAGCCACAGCCGAGGAAAGGTCTCCACCAGACTGGCCTAGGGCACGTGTGCAGCATTTCCTCATCGCTAACTGACACAGCAGGGCCAAGTACAGAA